TGTTAAGATCAGTTGTAATTTCTGGTGCAGTCCTTCATGTCCCTCCTAGGGCACGCAGTGTTCCCAGAGCATTAGCGAGGACTGCGTGAGCAGAACTAAGTGCTGCACATCCAGCAGTGGCCATAGGATCCCGAGCTGAATTAATGGTCTACTTTAACAGAATAATGACGTTTCATACCCGGCTACTGCAGGTTCCCATGATTCCACAAGATCAGATCTAGTTCCTTGCTGCTTTCCAGTTCTCTCACATTCCCTAGGAGTTCTCAGCAGTGAAAGTTTGTCTTGTTCTGTGGAAAGTCAAGCCCGGACATGTGGACATGTGTCTGGAAAAGCTAGAGCGTTCTGAGCTAACAAGAGGGAGTCCTAAAGAACCATCATCTGAATTTATATCAGTGCTAAGCTACACCAAGAAGGGCAGGGGGATGAGTTTCTACTCATTCTTTACCAGAATCCCCAAACACCATAATGAATTCCAGGATGAGTGGGTCTCGCTATCCTCAAGAAAATACTCAGTGCTCCTTTTTGTGCCTGTGTGTGTGATGGAAGGAAAACACCTCTGCCCACTTCTGCTAACTGCAGGCCATGTCCTGCCCCCAGCATAGTTCCCACTGAATGAATGATTCCCTGGGCACAGCTGGCCTGTGGCATAGTGGCACTGCACCAAACAGGACAGGCAGGGCTGGAACCCTGCTCCAGGAGAGCTGTCCCTGTCCTTGTGCAGCTGGAGTTGCTGTCTGCAAAGAGCGCCACACCCAGAACCCCGGGGTGGAAATCCTTTCCTCTGTGCTGCCTCCTCCTGGGGCTGGGATGAGTCCCTGGATGCATCATTGTGGTCCAAGAGTGTTTGTTAGCAGAGCCCAGGGAATGACTGGGTCAGGGAGAATGGAGGGGTAAATGTTAATTGCACCCCAGCAATCAGTCCCCAAAGATATCAGAGTGAGGTTGGTCAAATGGAGCCTGTATTATAAAGCTATCCATTATTTCATGAAGGCAGAGTTGGAAGGGAAAGTGCCCTTTAAATACATAGACCTATTTTTTGCCTTCCTCCTATGTACAGCATTTTTGCTATTTTAGTGCAGGCATTTGATTCTGAAGTACCTTTGTCACCATAATTTTAGTAACTTTTTGAGCAGTTGCCAGTTTAATTTTCAGTGCGTGAAAATTGGAGGTAAATTATTTATTACTTACAGCAAATGTCTTTCACAATTGTATTTAATTTTTTCATCTTTTTTAATGGGTCATAAAATGGCAGTCTTTTAGTAGCTTCCCATAAAGTAAGGAGCAAATGAATACTTTGCAAATAGGTTACCGTGGATGGAAATGTCAGCTGTATTTCACAGGGAATGGGAGGCTTTAGACCAGAGTTGCACGGACATATGGCGCTGGGCCACATCCCTCTGCTGTCAACAATAAACCAGCAGCGGGCATGAGGGAAGGAATTGCAACTGTTTGGTCTCCTCAAGTTACATTTTTGGGTAAATTGTGTATTAGGATGGGCAGTGGGCCAGGACCGAGGCAGCTTCAAGTTGCAAGAGTCTTGTGGTTACCTTTGGTCAGAAATCAGAACATTTTTAAAAAGCTCTTTTCAGACTTAAGTTTTCCAGGATTGGTTCCCATCCAGAAAGTGATATTGCACAGACAAAGGATAGGAAAATCCCTTCCATGTGGAGGAAGGGCCGTGAACTGTAAATGGAAGGCAGTTTTTCCTAGTGCAGTGAGGCGGGTTGGAAGTACAGACTGCTGGGAAGGTGCACACGTTAGGGCTGGGGTAGAGGCAGAGCAGTAGGGTTTGTGCTGCACACCACTGTCACTACTCCTGCTCCTTTGCCAGCTCTCTGCTTCCACCTCGCTCAGGTGCGGTGTCAGGAGGGAGCAGAGGATGGGAATGAGCACCCTGCCTCAAAGGCACTGTCTGTGGGCACTGCTGGGCTTGTGAGGAGGCGTGAGCAGGGCGCCGCTGCCTTTCCCTGGAGCCTGGCCTGCGGGACGGCCCCAGGGGGCTGCGGCAACAACACTGCCCGACTCTAGAGGGGGTTCATTTGAGGGGCCCTGAGGACATACCTCACTCTGTGGCAGCTTTCCAGAACTCAGCCCTCAGCTGAGATCTGTGCTGGGACAAAACTAGTACAGCCTCACCCTTCTCTGGTGAACCAGGGCTGTGTCCCTGGCTGCAGGGACAGGAATGTTCTCTTGACTGGGCTGTTCTGAGCTCCACGGAGGGACTCAGCCCTCACACAGCAGTGACAGTCACCAGTGGGAAGAGCAGGGGCCCGAGAAATGGGATGGCTGCTGCTTGTCATTTTCATCTCAGAATATTTTCAGTTTCGGCAGAATGCCGAGCTGAAAGCCTCACACACGTGGCTGGTTGCTGGTAAACACTGGGATGTGTTTGTGTATGTGTCTGTCTCCGAGCCATGTGTGAAGGAGCAGCAGAAACAGGACACCTCTTTCTGGGACTCCCTGTTTAGGGGGCAGTGTTTGTATGAATCACAAGTACCCACAGCCCAGCAAACAGGTGGCTGCTCAAGAAATGAAAGGACGTACTGAGTATCCCCAACAGTCATGACAGTCTCAGGGAAGGAGTGCTTTAGTGTGTTGACATGTTCATCCTTTTGAAGATGAGGTAATTATCTGTGTGAGTTCACTCAGTGGCTTCCAGAACAGAGCGGCTATGATCAGCTCCAGTGACATCTCCAGTGGCTCATCCCTGCAGCGGTGTATCAGGGTGGAGCTGTGCCCGTGCTGGAGCTGATTGCTCAGTGAGCCTGCTCCCTGGGATCTGTCAGCAGGCTGACAGCGGGAGTGGGGCTGCAGAGCTGCGGGTGTGGGCTGGGAAATGCAATCCGGGCTGGTACCTAGTACAGGCAGGAACTGGTACTGTGCTGCACACAGCAAGGGCTACAATATACTCCAGCCCGCTGGGAAATCTTTGCTGTTTTACAGAATGTTTCATACAACCCAGTGAGCTCAAGAACATGCCAAGGTCCTCAGGATGCCAGGGAATGATCCTTTGCTTTAATGTGGCTTACGTGTTTTATCCAGGTGTGTTTCGTGTCCCTGTTTTGCTCCATCTGCTAGCAAAGACCATCTACCAAAACAGCCTCATTCCTCACTAGTGGCATGCAGGACTCAGAGAGCTGCCAGGGCACACAGGGCTGGTGGGGCAGCTGCAGGAGTGTGTGAGCAGCTCAGCCTGGGGGTCCTCGTCTCCCCCAGGGGAGGCAGAAAACCCTCCTGCCCTGCAGTTCCAGGAGTGTTTGGCCAAACCTGAGCAGAATCCTCATGCTGCAATTTCCCCCAGCATTCCTCATGACAATGCCAAAACAAGTAATTGGAATTAAAAATAGTAAAAAGCACCACATCTTTAAAAAAGTCATCATTGACCAGAGTTTCACTGTGGTTTGATTTATTGCTCTGCAAGGGAATCAAATAGGTTTGGTTTTTTTATTGGTTCTGATTCACTTATTCCAGTGAATTCCAATTAGAAGGAGATTAGAGTTATTCTTTCTGTTGGATCAATTATTCAGAACAGAGATCATGTAAAAATGAGTTTAGTGGAAGCAACTCACTTCATTTTTGCTAAAACTGAAGAAGAAATGAGCCAAATTAGCTAAAATAGCTTTGAACTCCATATTGACTACAGTGTTTGTGCCAGAATAAAAACTCATGACATGTAAGAACGGTGTAAATGATTAATCATTTTAGTTCATGGATATCTACATTTTTATTTAATTACATCTATGCATAACATAAACTGTCTGAATCCTGGGAATCCAAGCCAGAGAAGCTGAGGAGTCTTATTCTGTTTAACATCCACCATGTGTTGTTTTCTTGTAGGGTTAATTTGTAAAATGTAAACCACATACTATTTGTATGCAGTGTTCGGGGCTATTTATAGCAAGTCCTGACCATTTATAATTATCCGACATCTTTAACCATAATGTCTGTGTGTGACTAAGGAGATGGTTATGGAACAGACAAAACAATGCTACTTTTACAGCTGAACTTCAATTTATTTTATAGAAAACTTCTAGGAGTACTTTCTGCTCTGTGGAATGAGGAAGGGGTATTCTCTACTTGGGCAGCTCTTTGTCAAGGAGACCAAACTTATTCCCAAATAGGAATAAGCACAGGCTTCCATTTCCCCTCTGAGGACACTCCTTGTGGAGCAGAGGCTGTAGGTACAAGGGCCTGCACAGCAGGTATGAGCCTTTCTTGGCTCTTCCATGGCTGCTCATGTTTCTTCTTTGTCTCTTGGCAGAACCCTGGAGGTTTTGGTGAGTTTGAATGAAGGCCAGTCTTTCATGTCCAGCTCGTTAACCATCACTGCTTCTGAGTGTGTAAGTGAATAACTTCTGTCACTCCTTCTAAAATCCCCACACCCCGTTTCTCTTTGGACTTTGCCATTGCAAGGCCTCAGACACAGAACCTCTGCTTCCACTTTGCTGTGCAAAGCTGTGTCTTTCCAAGTACTGGGAGGCTTTCCTGCCCTCAGAGACCTGTCCTGAGGGCCAGGCGTGACAGTCAGCTGGGTCCCATTCCGGCATGGCTCTTCCCTCAGCAGGGCTGGAGGGAGCAGAGGGGCACAAGTTGGCCCTTGAGCCTGTGTGTGGAGAGAGGTTACAGCCTGCAGAGGTGCTAATGCTCTGCAACTCTGGGGCCCGAGTGAGGAGTGTAGGCTCTCAGCTCTTGTTCATCCGGGCAGACAGCTGTCCAAGCAGAGGCCAGAGTGTCCCACTTACACCTGGGAGTCAGGCAGTGTGAACATCCTGCTCAGTCTGATCACAGGTTATAGAAGAGATAAAAACTGCTTCTGGAAGAGAGCACACACTTGTGCAGCCAGTGACTGTTCTAACTTAACACATATATTTTCTACTCTCACATTCTTGCTGTCCTTTAATTCCTTTTGTATTACACAGGACAGCTGGAATTTATGGAGGGAGATATGAGCCCACGGTGTTGAGCACGTGTTGTGCACGTGGGCCTTAAATGTGTCGTACCTCACACGAGACTGGAGAGCAGCTTTTCCATTGGGCGTGGAGCACAGGGAGAATCTCTTTTGCCCATCACCACACATGGCTCCCAACAGGATTTCTTTGCTCATAGATCAGTAACTGAAAAGAGAAAAAAAAAGACATTTTTATTCAATTCATTTAAAACCTCACCATTTGTGCAGCTGTAGAGATCAGAGCTCCAGTGCAGCCCTGCAGTTTGAGGAGGGAAGCCAGACTGAGCTGGGAGCCGAAGGAACACCCAGAGCCCAAATCACAGTTCTGTGTTCCAGGGCCTTTGTCAGTCAGCAGCATGCCAGCCGTACGCCAGGCAGGGTGGCTGAGGGCTGTGCAGCAGAGGAGCTGCTGCAGCCCAGCTGCAGCCTGCTGCACCTCAGCCCTTGCAGACAAGGCAGCACATGGTGCCCCTGTAGGAGCTGCCAGGAGTGCACAGAGAGGAACAGAAAAGCCCTGACACAAAGCAGCTCGGAGCGAGGTGCTGGGTATGGCCTTCCCACTGAGCTGCATGGCAGCTCTGCTGCTCTGTGCTCACAGCCTGTCCTGGCAGGAAGCAGAGAGCTACAGATGTGCACAGCAGCAGGAAGAGCTTCTCAGCAGCCTTTTTTGTCTTTTTCTGGTTTCTGCTCTTGGCCTCTGCTGCAGCAAAGGCGGCTCCACATAAGAACTGCTGTTTCCATAGTAGCAGATGGGCAACTCAAGAAATGGGTCACTGCTAGAACTGCTCACTAATTCTGGGAGCTGAGCAGCTGACGGCTGAATGGGAGATGAGTTGCAAGTTACAGCCTCCCAACAAACACACGTTACTGCAGTGAAAACAAACAAAATCACACACCAGGCACCACTGCACCTGTGTGCCTCACTGCACCTGGCATACGGCTCTGTTCCACGCCCATGTGCAGTGGAGCAGTTCTGGGTCAGGACTGCTCATGCAGTATTCCAGTCTCAGTGGTCCTCTGGGTCTCTCCTTTTTTTCCCCAGCTGAAGTCTGAATAACTTTTATTTTCCTAGAGATGCTGTTGCGTTTCTGTCAGTGTTTTAAAAGCCTAAAGTGTAGGAATAAAGACACCCCCAGGAAGTGGGTTGGAGGTGTTGGAGGTGGGCTGCTCAGTTCTGTAGTTCAGGTGTTGCTGGAAGCAGGAACACTCCCTCCTTCAGTTGCAGGTTCCCACAGGATGGCTGCAGGGAGTTAATGTGCCACAGTCTATGCAGGAGTATGGGCAATCTGCATCAAAGCCTCACAGGTGTACTATTTGTAGAGATGCCCTAAAACCTCCCTGCGTGCTCCCCAGTCCATGTGTGAGACCTGGGTCCTCATGGAGAAGGGCACCTCTGTGTTATCCACAGGCTTAGGATGAGACTTCCCCTGTCGGTGGCTGGTGTCTCATTCCCTAGCAGGCAAGGGACTCTGTTTCCTCAGGCTGGGCCTCATTGTGATCTCGGGGCTGTCAGCTGTACAAGTTTTACATCAGAAGGAAGGCGCTGGGCTGGCTTGTGGGGCGAGCGAGTAGGGCAGCACTGACACTGTCCTTGCTGTCTCCGCAGTCCAGTGGCGTGGGAGCGCTCATTGCCGTCCTCGTGCTCCTGCTGCTGGTGGCGCTCGGCCTGCTCTGGTGGTTCTGGCCCCTCTGCTGCAAAGTGGTGAGTACAGACCCTGGGAACAGCCCCTGCACCCTGAGCCATGGGTGGGAAACACAGATCCTGCAGGAAATGGGTGAAGTGATGGGGAGGCAGCTCTGGGGGGGCCTGTGACAGGCAGGAAAGGACTGGGGAGAGCAGCTCCAGCACTGGGGCTCCTCTGGGCACGGCCCCGCCTGTCTGAGTTACACACACAGGAACCAGCTCCAGCATGGTGCTCTTACTGGGAATGGGATGGCCTTAATGGTGTGCAGATGTTACCCTCAAATCAAGGACCACTTTAAAACTGCTCTCAGGAAAATTGGTATTTGTAGTCCATTATGGGCTCTCAGGTTGAAATCTCTATTTTTTTTTTCATAATCCCTGCACACATCCATCTCTTTATCTGAGTGCCCTCTCTATCCCCACCCCAGCAGCAGCGGCGTTGGTCACTTGCCTCCTGCCATTCCTTTCTGGGTGAGCAGGAAAGTTTATTATTCATCCAGCTCAAGGACAGCATGGGGGACTTGGGAAATGGAGATTGCTTCCCTGGTCTGGGTTCCTGTTCCTGTCTGGGGCTTGTGCAATGTGGGGCAGAGAGGAAGTGGCTTTCTCACCTGACTGTGCTGCAGCCCTTGGGACCTGGGGGGGTCCATCGGGCCTCTGGCTGTCCAAGGGCAGGAAATCTCAGCCTCCATCTGCACCCTCACAGTCTGGGCTTCCTAAGGTGAGAACAAAAAGCCTCCCTTGTTCTCATTCTCCACAGCACAGGCCCAGCAGAAATCCAGGGCGCTTCCTCTTAATCACCTTACCTCCACTGTGTTTCATATGATGAGCCTCCCTGTGGAAAAAGAACATTGTAAATCAGTAAAAAGCAAGCCCCGGTTTTCTTATTATAAGAAAACCTAACCTTGATTCATAAACCAGCTTCAAAAGTTAAAATTCCTACATGAAGCAGTCCAGTGAATAGTTGTATATTACCAATTTTCAGCCTTATAAAACCATAGTTCTTCAAATGTTTGTGCCCTCTGTGTTTCCTCCTACCTCCTTTGGATACTATTTTGTTACTTCTAAAGAAAAGGTAACCTTAGGCCTCTTTGCTACAGCATTGCTGAGTTCCAAGCTCACCCGCTGTTGCACTGAACCTACTGCAGAGCACTCATCCTTCCTTCTGGTTTTGCTGTCCCTCAGTTCTTGCCTTTCTCTCCTGCCCATGAGGCTTGGACATCCATCACCTGGAAGGGCCACTTCTGGCTCAGTAGCATTCCTGAGAAGAGAGGCAGCATTAGGGCCAGGTAGGACCTACTCTTCCCTTCCTCTGGCTCTGCTTCCCTGGTTTCCTGGAACAAGGAGCAGGAGCACGGGAGTCAGATCCCGACGGAAAAGAGAGGTAGAGGGTGTTGTGGGCAGAACAAGTGTCTGTAGCCAGAGTGGGTTTCCCGCTGCCCACGGGCCCAGCTCCATCCTGCCTGGGGCTCGGTCTCACAGCCTTCCATGGTGTAAGTCCCATGGACACTCAGAGGGTGGGGAGGGGGACTCCTCTTCCTTTTCCTTCCTTGTCCCCCACTTCCAAGGGTTTCACTGTGACAGTTCTGTCACTTGTCCCTCGCTGTGGAACATGTGATTGCAACAAGCTGGCTGTAGGCTCTGTGCTGACATCTCCTAATGCCCACATCATGGAGCGGCAGAGAAGTGTTAATGAGTGGATCAGAGGCACTGCTGCCTCAAGCACCGACTTCTTTTTTTAAATGATTTTTTTCCAAGAAATCAGCTCATCTCCAAACTCAAACCTTCATTCTTTGCGACTCACTAAATGAGATGGAGCTTTGCCTTGAGAGGCTGATAACAAAACCAAACAAACTGAGGAAGCAGCCCATCTCTCCATGAGGATAATAAGACAGCAGCATTATTCAGAGGCTTCCTTATTGAAACAGTCTGAATCCAGCTCAGGGAAAGTTAATTTACAATACTCAGGTCTTCCTCTCTGCAGTTCTGTGTGCTGCTCCATGCTGCACGTGTGCCTTGGATTTCTCTTTTTCATAAACAGCTTTCTACTGATTTCACTTGGAAAATCACACTATTGAAAAGAATCCTTGTGTGTGCACGTGTGATTCGAGTGCGTGAGTGTGAGAGCCTGTGGAAGCATAAGGATGCAGGCATTGACATTCCAGTGCTGTCAGCAGGGTGAGGAGCTGCTACTCAAAGCAGATTATTTTCTCACACCACTGTCACTTTTAAAACAAGTTTCATTTTCTGAAGCCATTAGAAATAACAGCTAATTAATGGATTGCTTGGCTTTAAACTGAATTTCCCCTCAAACTTCAGCAAGTTCAGGAGCTGGCACAGGATTAGATCCTCCACTGAGGAGATGAGCAAAAGCTGTCATTGACTGTTGCCTTAGGAAGCCACAGTAAGCTCAAACAAGTCAGGTTTCCCTTGATTGTCCAGGGTGGGAGTTGTGATTCCTACATCCCCAATGGGCTTAGGGCCCGCAGGAATTCCATCCCTCATTGCGGGGAGGTTTGCTGGGCAAAGCTGTGCTCAGACAGATGTGAGGCTTCAGAGTGGCACAGCCATAGATGGGGAAGGGCAGTGCCATTTCATATGGGTGCATACAGACCCACCTAGGAGCACCTTCTCCTGTACAGCTGGCAGGCTTGACAGAGACAGAGACTGTTTTGGGACGATGATTAGGGACAGGTGAAATGGAAATAAGGACAGAAATTAAATAAGGTGTCCCTTCATTGAGAAAAAGTGCTGCTCTACTGTTTCCAGTCTCCTAATTGCTTTCAGTGAGAATTAAATATCTCCAGGCTTTGGCAAATCCTACTCAGCATCCAAGTATCTCTCAGCATCTGTCCCACAATCCTTCTGTGTTGCTGTTTCATGCAAAGTTAGGGTAATGATTCCAGTGTGGCTCTCAGGAGCGTTTCACTAATTAAATAATTACTTTCTGTTAAGTACACTGGAAACTCCTGATGACTGGGAAGAAAAAGTGTTCAGAGCTGTTTAAAGAAAAGTAATGTCTGGCATGGTTTTGCAACATCCTAACAGCAAAGGGATGTCTCAAAGTTGAAATCCATAGTTACTTTCCAATCCACCCAAAGCACTCTGAGTTTGACATGAGCCATTCCATAATTTAAACCTGGAGGGCTGTGGAAAACTGGTTCCAGGGGTGCCATAAGTTATTTATCCTATTGGGCCGAATTCCTTTATGCACTGCTGAAAGGCAGTCAGTAGTAACTGCCTGGGTGGGACTGATAACTGAAATATAAATCAAGATGGAAAATTCTACTGATCAGAAAAATATGTTTCTTTCATGTATTATGCTGACTGCAGTGGTATTTTTCATAGACAGTGTTTAATAAAAGTATTAAAATTAAACAGCACAGAGTGAATAAAGTAAGGCATATTTCAATTAAGTTGCTTAAAACCTGTATTAGATTGAATTGTTTGTCAGCATGTACAGTTTTGGATATGTTTGTGTAATATCAAAGCATAACAAGAATGGACTCCTTGATATTCATGGTGTATTTTTTAGTCATTTCCAGGCAACACCCAAGCCCAAAACATGGCCCAATGTCACCAAAAAACTTACCAAGGTTAGCTTGCAAACCTGCTTTTCTCGTGGAGGAACGCCTGTGCATTCAGTTTTCAGCTGAATCAGTGAAGAGGGTCCCTTGCCTGTCCGTCCCCTGCTGGGACTGTCAGTGCTGGGCATTCTCTGAGCTTTATAGTGTGGATGTGACAAAGGGAATGGGAAGAGACTGTAGGGAGATTTAAATAGAGGTGTAAGAAATGCTCCCGGGAGTGGGCTTCACCCGGAGCAGTGTCAGAAGTGTGGGAGTGTGACTGCAGTGCAGGCACTGCACAGTCATGGAGCTGGGAGGTGGGAAATGAGAGGGCTGCGGAAGCGTCCTGGACATCCAGAGGTGAAGCCTGAGCTGCCAGAAGGCATTTCACACTTGTCACTGGGCCAGAGACTCCCCAGCAGCAGCCACAGCAGCAGTGGCAGCTCGGCCCACGCCTGTGCAGGACCTCACACAGCCCTCAGACGCTTTTCCTCCGGGATTGCTGATGGACTCTGGGGGGTCTCAGCGGTGGCTGTTCCTCACAGCGGCTGACACTCATCCGTCCAGGAAGCGCGGTGGCAGACACGTCTGCCCAGAGTGTCTGCAGGCTGGGGATGGCAGCTCTGGCAGACGGATGGTGCTCATTTCCAGAAGGCCTCGCTGATGGATGATCAGGGGAGCAGGCAGCACAGACTGCCAGCTCGCTGGCCCTCATGGGGGCTCGGGTGGAAACAGGTCACTCTTACCATGGTCTGTTGCCTTGGGCTGCTGCAGTGCAGCACCTTATTCTTTCCTGTGTTTGGTTCTTTCAGGTCATCAAGGATCCCCCTCCACCTCCGCCAGCCCCAAAAGAGGTATGGTACCCCCACATGGAACCACTCCTGTGCTTCCCTGTGCTCTGCATGTCTGCCTCCTTGTCCGAGTGCTGCCCGAGAAAGGACTGCCCTGGGGGGTGCCTTCACTGGAGCACAGGGTTCCTAAAGTCCAGATCTCTGCTCTCACAGATCTGGATGTGTGGCGTTCTCCACAGGCCTCAGCTCAGTGTGGCCTGAATTAAGCCCAGATCTGCAGAAACACTTAGGGCTTTTATTCCAAGACAACTTTGTTTTCCACATTCTGCACTGAAAGCAGAAAGCTTGAATAGCCCTTGTCCAACATCTAAAGATTCATGTAGGAATTAGGCAGTGTTTTCCCCCTGCTCTGTCATTCCAGGCACTGAGGAATCCCCCTAACAAGGGAATTCCTCTCCCTCTTACAGGCAGTAACACACTGGAGGCTCTGCTGTCCTCAGTGTTTGCACCCCTTTCACAACCAACAGGGTATGCTCTGGGAACTCCAGTGGAATACACAGAAAAGACATTCAGTGTGTGGGTGTGGAAGCATCTTTTAAAAGTAAACACCATTTGAATGTACTTACAGGAAGAAGAACAGGAGCCCTTGCCTTCCAAGAAGTGGCCCACGGTGGATGCTTCCTACTACGGTGGACGAGGAGTTGGGGGAATTAAGAGGATGGAGGTTGGTATGATTTGGAGATGGCAGTTCCCTCAAGCATGAGCTCTCTGAGGCTGCAATTGTGGAAACAAAGACTTGACAGTGCACTGAAAATACAAGGCCATAATGTGTGCTTGTCTTCCCACTGGCATAAGCCTTGGAAAATTCGTTACCATATCGAACAATTCTGACCTTGCCTCTGAAAGAACAGCTTTCAGTAGTTCCATTTGACTGGGACTTTAAATAGCTGCCTCAAGACATGCTCTTTCCATCACGCTAATGAGAAAGAGAGAGTGAGAGCCTTTTCTGCGTGTTTTGGAAGGAATTACAGTGAAACATAAGTCCCCCAAGTGTGGGCCAGCCAAATGCGCTGACAATGGTGACGCTGAGGAGAGGCTTGATCCCAGAGGGACTCACAGCGACAACAGAGCCTGTCTTTGAAGAGACACGATAGCATCATGTTAATTAAAACAGAATGAAGAATGTGCATCCTTATGGGCACATCCTTATGGCAGGTTTTGTAGTCAAGTCAGCCTATATGGAATGTGCAAAGCAGTTCCTAACTGCAGTCCAGGAAGCTGTCTCTGTCTGAAACACCCACCTAGGCCATACTGAGGTGTCTTGATGAAACTTTAAAGGTATTGGCCTAATCAGCTTTGCTCGAGTACTTTTTAAATGCAGAGGCAGAATATGCAGGTTTGAAGCTGTGTCACTTATATGCATTTTCTTCAGCAGTTCAGAATTGCTAATTTAGAAGAGCTTCAGATTTCACAAAAAGAAAACATTTTGTGCAGTGTTTTTCAGAAGCAAACTAGAAAATGCTTTCCAACATCAAGAATTACAAGCCTGGATTTGAGGGAAACTATGATAGCCTCCAGGAGGGGCTCCCAAATGGGATCCTGCACAATGGAGCAGAAAGCTCATGAACACAAGTGACATCGGGACCACAAAGAAAGACATGTTCAGCCCATGGCAAAAATGCAAACGAGGGTAGAAACTGATGATTAGGTTAGAAAACCTTTTCATCTGTGGTAGGAATTTTGTGCAGGACTAAGGGCTAAAGAAGTTAACCAACTGAAATTCCTGCCAGCATAATCATGGGCCCTAGAAAAAGCCCCCCTTGTGTGGGGCTGTGTGGCTCTGTCTGTCCCTGAGACCCCAGAGCAGTGTCAGGTGTGGCTGGGCACTGATGGTCAGTGCCTCTGGGTTTGAGTGGGGAGCTTCACCTCTGCCCTGCTGTGTCTAGGACAGGCTGGGAAGATGGGCTCTGGCTGTAGGGAACGCAGGACAGGCCTCACAGCTCTCCCTGGCCCAGAAGAGCACGCTGCTCCTTTGGGGAGCTGGGGAAGAAGCGAGAGAAAACACTCCAAGGGAGGTTGTTCCTTACCTGGCAGGTAAAGGTGGTTTCTGTGCCATGGCCAGTGACAAACTTGCTGGTCCAGTTTGTCATTTCTTCCATGTTTGCAGTCCATGTGGCAGTGAAGTCGTCTGGTTTTTATTGCTTCTCTGGCTTCTTTTCTTCTGCCATTCCTTTAGCAGCCGGATTCATCTGGCTGCTTCCCTTTCTGGAGAAGGGAAGGGTCTGAACCATCACCTTTGCACTTCCCACTCCTGTGCTGGAGCAGGTACCCATCCACTCCTGCCTTCTCCACTAGCTCCACTCCTCTGTGACAATCCCAGATAGCTTGGGCAGTGCTCTCCTAGCTCTGTCTTTTGGCATTGCTTTAAAGTTTTGTGATGTCATTGCCAGACCCCAACTGTTACAGTTAATTCATTTTTATGTCAAAATTGGGTGGTCAGACTCCACCACTTGTGGTTTCTTCTGGGTGAATTGGCTTTTGTGTGAAGGAGAAGGTAATTTTTTCAGTGAGAGATCCACCAGCTAATGGTTTTAACAGTGTTTAAAATACATGTTAGCAGCCACATGACAAGCCCTGTAAAAGTCCCACTGATCACAGTGAAGACACAGGTGTACAGGGGCCTCCTGGCAGGCCACATCTCAGCAAATGGCATGATTATGGCAAGTCTTGCTGAAATGGTCCAGGCCACTTTCACTAAGGACTGTCAAACTTTCAGCTGTTCCTTTTTGGATGAGAAGGGAACAGCCTTGTCCAGGCTTGTTTCTGTGCACACTACAGCAAACACTGCTGCTCAGATTGCTGCATGGTGCTTGAGAAGGTGAAACAGGATTCCTGCAGCAAGGTGAATTATCCCTCTTAGCAGGGAGGTTTTTCCATGTATTTAATCTCCAGAGCACAGTGAGTACAGCCTGTATGGAAGTGGGAATATGTGTCTCCCTGGCAGTGATAATCCTGGTTTCCTTCTCTTTCAACTCTCTATATATTTTATACACTTGGAGCAGTGTAGCACACACAGTTAACATTATCATACACAGTGTTGCATGTTCTGCATGCACTTAGGCAGGGTAGACAGCTTCACCTGTACTTCTCCAGCATGTATCTTCCTGCAGGACAACATGGAAACCTGAGCAGGTTCAGGAAGCTTCTGCTTAAACTTCCCTAGGCATCACATTAAATCTACACTGGGGTTCTTGAAAACTCTCTGGGCTAGGAGACCTGGTTCAGAAATCTTAGCCTTCATGGGTGCAGGTTAAGGTCTGATATTTTAGGATAAATAAGAAGTAGAAATTATATTTTTATATCATTACTTAGAGATTTCACAGATCCCCTGTCCCCCATGTGAAGCAAGATAGGATTTTTCAGTACTGAGACTTATTTACAGACATTTACCTAAGACTGAAGAGGTAGTGTTCTCCTCGGTACCTCCTCTCTTGTTTATCCAGCACCTCTTCCAGATTTACCCTCTGTTATTTGCAGCAGTTTCCCTGACCTGAGGTGCACTCACACCTGAACTCTGCCTTTCCTCAGGTGCGCTGGGGCGACAAAGGCTCCACAGAAGAAGGGGCTAGGCTGGAAAAAGCAAAGAATGCTGTGGTGAAACTCCCAGAAGAACCAGAAGAACCTTTTCACCCTAAACCACCTAAACGAAAGCCTACCTCACCAGCCATACAGCAGAAGTGGTACACGCCAATCAAGGTATCTGTTCAGTCTTTGGCACGACTGTTACTAAGGGCTGGGTTCTTTGTGCCTTATGCAGGCTGAGCTGTGCCTTACTTTCCAAGTGTTCCCATTCAAGTGTAATGTGCTATTCTCGATGGGAACACCTACTCAGCAGGAATGGCAGGAGCAGTTTGTAGCCCTAAATGCAATACTTGATCATTACTGCCACATTCTGTTTGCCTCCCCTTAAAAAGGGACATATTGTACAGTGAGAGCATTAAAATCTATGGGGGCTTTGTTGGCTTAGTAGAGCTAATTAAACCCAAAACTGCACAGTTTGTAGCTGCTACACTAAGTTTTAAACACACATTGTCATGACAAACCAAGAAAAGCAAAAAATTACATAAAACAATGTAATGCAAGAATTCTGATAAAAAGCGAATTGTTCTATCTGGCTCATATGGATGGTGCTCTGAGTCACCTGCCAGGAGAGCACAAGCACTGCCTACAGGCAGAGGGTAGGTCTGTAAATACCTTGCCTTTAGGTGTTAAGAGCAGCAAACACCCAGGTGTAGCTGGGACACTGGACACTGCTGTGTTCCCAAGTGCCTGCCACTCCTTTCTGACCCCCAGAAAGCCCTGAAGTCGTGATGTCCAAACACACAGGCAAGGTCTGGAGCCATCTGTGCAGTGTGGGATGCTCCTAACCGGCTCTGCTCCCCAGGCACTCCGGGTGGGCAGGAGCAGCACCACAGTGGTTGCAGGGGACACAGGCCAGCCTTAGCTCTGCTCGCCAGGCTCCAGGGAAGCGGTGCTGCTTCCCTGTGCGGGTGGGGGTGCTGCTGTCCCTGACTGAGCTCCCGTGTCCCCGCAGGGCCGGCTGGATGCGCTGTGGGCGCTGCTGCGGCGCCAGTACGACAGAGTCTCGCTGATGCGGCCTCAGCAAGGAGACCAGGTGGGTGTGCGGGACACGGCCGGCCAGGGGCCGTGACACGGCCCGGGGGGGAGCAGAGCGACACCAGAGTGGCACGGCGGGAAGGGCGACACACCAGTCGATCCAGGTGGTGAAAGGGGTGTGGCACCAGCCTGGATGCGCAGCACTGGCACAGGGCTGGCGGAGGCAGAGGGAGGGGTGCCGGATGTGGTGTGTGCTCAGGTGGAGAACAGGAACACAGCCTTGTGCAGGGTAAACTCTTGTCACAGGCACATGCATCACTCTCAGACCCAGCTGTTTGTAACAGCAGAGGCTGGCAATAATGTCCATGCAAGTTGCTTCTACGAGCTTTGCACTTGCACACCAATGACACTTTTCACAGAAGAAGAAGGTGAGGAAATATGTTTTCTCAGATAATCCTTTCTCCTGGAACATCTCTGGCCACTGAAAAAGGGGCCTCTCCCCCAGATGCTGCTGAGGACACAGAGCTGCTGTTTGCACCTCTGATAGTGAAACCAGATCAAATATTTTTGATTGCTGCTCCTCAGAAAAATATCACTTTGATTGTCAGCATTTATCTCCTGCATCCACTCAGCTTCCTATCTGTGGCACTTGGGAAGAGCCACGGGAGCAAATGCTTTACTTTCAACAGGATGGCAGCAGGTCACAGTCTCACGTACTCCAGGGCATTGTCTGTGCACCATGTGACATGAAGGCCACATAAAAGGATGACAGGGCTGAAGGGGAGGGAAGTTACATGTGGTAGAATGGGAGGTAATGGGAATTTTGATTATTTTCCCGGGATGAAGTTTGGTGCTGTTCAAAAGGATGAGGAGGTGAGACTAAGGTAAGGCAAGTGTTGGAAACAGCAGAATGGCCAAGTGCTGTGCTGCAGGTGGAGAGCACAGCTGGATACAGCTGTTGGCATTGTTACCGTGGCAGGTTAGTCACTGTTTGCATGAATGATGCATGTGACATGGAGCAGCAATAACAACGGCAATCTACACACAAAATACCTGGCACAATACAGTTTAACAGGTAAATGCAATGTAAACAGGAATGTAGAAGTGATGCCTTAAAAGGCTAAAAAAGTGTCAACCAGGGCCTGTTTTGGGGATCTCTGCCCTTTTTAAAGGGAAGGAGTTACTGTAAGGATTGGCCTGGGGGCAGGCTTTGCTGAGCCATTGTGCAGTCAGATACCCTCCTTCCCTGCGCCTGACAGGAGCAACACTGGCCAGCATCTCAGCTTGTGAAAAACAGAGTGGCAGCTCAAGGGAAAAGGAATGGTGGGTCAGATGTGACCTGTGTCACTGCAGAGTGCCATTTCTGTCTGCGCAGTGTTTGGTGTCTTGGGGAAAAAATGGCATCTTTTTCCTTGTTCCTAACACACTGGGTGGAGATCCCATGGTGGGCCCCTGGTGTGTGTCAGTGCACGAGTGTGCACAGGGAGACACACACAGACACACAGACACACAAAGCCGTGGAGTTGTTCATCACCTTTCTGTTACTGTTTAGGAACTTGTCAGTTCCATTTGTAAAAGATCTCACTGCCGAACTGGAGTGCTTGATGAGGCAGTTGAAATTTGGGCATGAGGTATCAAAGCAGAGCGAGCAGTTGGTGCATCCCCGCGCTGTCCTGGCTGTGCCGTGCGGCAGGCGGTGCCGGGAGGGCCGTAGCAGGAGGCTGCGGGGGAGGCCGGGGCCGCGGGACCCGCGCCCAGGTGTGGGCACACCGAGCAGGCTGCGGGCACAGCTGTGCGGCGGCCGCGGGAGCGCAGGGCAGGCCGGGGCACGTGGGGCCCGGGGGCTGCAGCACCAAAGGTAGCACGGCTTAGACACAGCTGCTCCCCGGCTCGCCTCAGGCACAAATCCAGAGATCCAACGCGGGCTGGCTGTGCTGGGGGCCGAGGACACGCAGCCACTTCAGAGACAGCTGCACGCTGCGGCAGCTGCACCGGGCTCCCAGTGAGGGATGAGGACAGCAGGTATGGATCGAGGGCCCCACAAACAGCCTCCATTAAGCCACGAGCGCTTTTGAAGGGCTCCCATCAAACAGAGCAAGTCCGCAGCAGGAGATTTCGGCTGCAGAACCATGTGGTGTTTTCTGCGCTAACAAGGTAATTTATAAATGATGCATTACCCTGTGTCTGTGTTCCTAGCTAGACTTCCTTCCTTTTTTTTATTAAAGGGGCAAAGAAGACTGAGCCACAGCAGTCTGGGCTACTCTGATAAACCAGTTCAGTGTCCAAGGATCTGCACTGAACTTCTTTTGCCAGGAGTCTGGGGCTGCCCAGGAACACAGCCTGGCACAGGGGCACAGCACCAGCCTCAGGGGCCTAGCTTTTCCTCTAAATCCTTGTGTTTGTTTTCCAAGTCACAGTTTAGCACCACAAGGTGATCATCAGCGGTTTGGATTCTTTGTCTGAGCTTGCTGCAATGTGATGGTGGCTGAGACTCTGATCCTGTGTGCATTTATGCACACAAACATCTTTAAGTCCATGGCACTTGTAATGAAGATTTTGCCCTATCAGGATGGAAATAGGAGTCAGTGGTAAAGGAAGAGAAAGACTGTACTTCATTCTAGGACAATCAGAAGAGACGAGAACTATAGAATGCTTCCAGGTTGTACTTCCATATACAAACCAGCCTTTTAAACAGGAAGACACTGGTACTTGTTTTTAAGCCTGTTAGTTTTTTCCTGCTTTAAAGGTCTTTTCTAATAATGGCTACAGAGTTACCACAAACATCTGTTTAAACTGTTAATTTTGAGCATCTCTGCATAATACAAAAGTAATACATTCTGCACATGCAAGATGTGGCTAGCAGTGCTCCCTCCAAAAGGAAGCTCCTGGTCACTGGAATCATGCCCTCTCCCTGTAGCCTGAGCTGCTTTCAGGAGGGTCTGGCTGGCTGCCTGGCAGGTGCCCATCCCGACTAGAGTGGCTCTCCTGGCAGTCGGATTTGCTGTCAGTCAGTGGGAGCGGGAGGGACCCTCTTGCTGAAGAGAGGATGTTGTGCTGGTGTCAGGAGAAACAGGGATATTTTCCCAACTACGTAGGCAGCAGTTCTTGGCACTGCCTTCCTTGGTGCAGATGAGTCTGCTGCTCTCTTGAACAAGCCTTGGGGACTCATCCCTCTGTGAGCAGTGGTAGGAATGAGAAAGCAGGAAGAAGCCAACCTGCCTGTCAGTTCCAAGGCCATGTGGCATGGGATGGCAGCCATGGAGGAAGGAACGCCAGTGCTGGGGGCAGCACGGATGTGCCATAGGTGCCCCACAGCTTCCCTGCCAGCACACGAGCAGTGCAAACCCCCAAGCCAAGCCAAAGAAAACCTTTCCCTGGGCAGGGCAGGGGCTGGTAATCACAGAGTGTTTCACTGCACAGAATTCCCAAGCAACAAGCACATTTGTTTTCCTCATCCTGACGACACCTTTCCCATGGAGTGAGCTGCAGCAGAGTGATGGATGCAGCAGGCCTGTTCCCCTGGCCAGATTATTCCTCCCCTGTGAGCTGGTGGCGCAGGGCAGCTGTCCGAGCGGCTGGCCGGGATTCGGGAATGGCCGCTGAGCTAATCTCCAGGCTTTGCAGATGAAGGAGGCAGCAGATAACAGGATTAAAGTTTCCCGACCCAGGGTTTTCACAGCCCGAGACGCGGGCGGAGGGGGAGACAGAATGACTTCTGTCATTAATCTTAATTGATTGCCAAGAGGTTTTTAATCTGGCTTATTAATTAGGAAGGTCCTTAACACACTGTCTACATATCAACATCAGATGCTCTTTTGGGACTTTGGGGACATATGGCCTATCTATATTTACATTCACACAATTTACACATACATACATCGCTGTATGGGAGCTGCTCGCATGGGTAACGCGCACGCAGCGCCGAGGAAGCGTTTGCATTCACACAGTGTTCAGCAAAAGGGGAT